ACACTCTCTCCTTGATTAGTTTCCACCCATTGCTTCTTGTTCTACCCTCAGGTGCCTCGGAGAATAGTTTGACTCCCTCTTCTTTGCGTCCTTCTCCAAGGACACCTATAAAAATTTCTCACACCAGACTGAGGAACAAAATATAAGTGTTCTAAGATCTAAGGAGTAAGATCATCAAGTAAAGAGTGTCAACCAGGGGTGAAGTCCACTTACCTTTCCGCGCATGTGCAGAGCATCAAAAACGGATGTGATGATGTCTGAGCAGGTGGGAGGAGCCTGCTACTGAGCGCGCTATTGAGGTAAGCGGACAGCGAGGGGGGGAATTCGCTGTGCCACGCGATTTAGATTAGCTAGAAAGCAGGAAATTTGATGATTCTAGCTAATATAAACTCTGCATCACAGCTGATCATCAGAAAAACCAGTTCGCCCAAACCAGTAGGATTTTTTTTACTAGCAGTGCAGGCGAACCAGCAGCATTTTTACTACCAGTTCAGGCTAACTGGTCCGAACTGGTAGCATTTCACCCCTGGGGTCAACCTATTCTCCAAAGCACCTGGAGGCAAGACAGGAAACAATGGATGGAAATTAATCAAGAGAGAACCAACCTAGAACCAAGGAGAAATTTCCTAACAATAAGAACAATTAATCAGAGGGAAAACCTGCCTCCAGAAGTTGTGAGTGCTCCATCACTGGAAGTTTTTAAGAAGAGGTTGGATAACCATTTATCTGAAATGGTCTAAGGTTTCCTGCCTAAGCACGGGGTTGGACTAGAAGACCTCCAAGGTCCCTTCCTATTCTGCTACTCTGTTAAATACAGGTAGTCCTCAATTACAACTATCTACATCGAATTTTTATTTTGGCACCTGACTTTGCGGTACTCAAATCCAGAGCCCATTAGGATAGAGGCAGGTTATCAATATATCTATTTTATTTTTTCCTGGAAATATATTTTCCTGAATAGGAAGTTATTTATGATGTTCCAGGTAGGATTAATGTACACATGAGTTAAGAAGTCAAACTCAACCAAAAGAAATGTTAGCTTAATCCCATATGTCATCTCTAATATAGAAATCTCCACGTATGGCATAAAAGAATTTCATCTTAGATCCAAGATGTTAAGGGAATAAAACACAAAGGAATAAACAAGGGATTTATAAATGCCATGAAAGCTATAGTATATAACACTGAAATTAAAAGATAAAGAAGAGTCGGAATATTATGAAATTTGGAACAATTGGTACAAATGGCTGCA